TACATACATACATACGCATACACATATATACATATATACTGGTAAACATCTGTTCTCCTATACATACCTGCATACATGCATACATACATACAGACATATGTACATATGTACATAAGTATATATGTACATATACGTATATATATATATATCTAATATATAAACGTATATATATATATATGTGTGTGTATGTGTATATATATATACATGTATATATATATATACATGTGTGTATATATATTTATGTGTGTGTATATATATACCGCAGTATGTAGTCCTGTATGGAATGCAGTGTGCTTGGTTTCCCACATTATGGTCTTGAGCTGTCGGCTAGGTTTATGAGTGCTTTGCATGATTCGTTGAAGACTCATGTGCATCTTCGGTTCATGTCTGAGCCTGCAGTGCGTTGGTTTTTAAAAAAACAAGACCCCTGATGCGCACGCCTTTTTCCAACTGCTTTCGCATCGGTAGCGTGTTCTGCGATTTCGGACTCCCTTCGGAGTCCTGATCGGCGAATCTCCAATATGTCACTCGCACTTCATGCAGAAAGGGAAACCAGAGGAAGATCGAATAAACGACAAGGGATAGGGAGGGTGGGAGAAGAGAAAAGCCCGCGTTCGATACTTATACCAAAAATTGCCTCGGAAGTGTTGACTAGTCAATGTTCGAAGTGATCGACTCATGAAGATCCTCGGTGTCGATCGGTGAATGATGAAAGCAAGGAGTTGCCACTTCGCACACAAATGTTTTGCTACACAACACCACAAGTCCAAACCCGCCAAGTCAGAGCCCGAAAACTCAAGACCCTAAAACCCTAAACCCCAAAACCCTAAAGTGCCAAGGCTGCCAAGGTGCATAGACGGATACATTTGTTGCCCCCAGTTCCAGTTCGCGTAGGCACCGTTGTAGCCTCGAGTCTTGTGCTTTCCAGCTTCCAGGCTTTAGCGTTTAGTGGGGTTTGGGCATAGTTTTGAGGTTTTGGGTTTTAGCTTGGGTTTAGGCCTGCAGTGTTTAGGAATTCAGTGGCGTGGCTTCAGCAGGGGTTTGGCGTTCAGGGTTAAGCGGCATAGGGCATCGCAGTTTGATGCTTGCAGTAGGGTTTGTGGATGTAGTGTTCATTGGGTTAAGGCTGAGGCTTGCCCGGATCTTGGAGCGAGTGAAATTGTTATGGGCATGACGAAGGGGCTGAGGGTTTAGGCAATGTCTCAGCAGCACTACCACTACCATACCACTACCACGACGACTGCGACTAGTACTACCAGTACTACAACCTTCGCAGCCGCCGCCAACAACACCAGCACCATCACGATCACTACCACTACCGCTACTACCCCACCACCACCACCACCACCACCACCACCATGACCACGACCACGACCACGACCACGTCCTCGACCACGCCCACGACCACGACCACTATCACCACCCCAGCTCCGGCACCACCTGCCACCACCACCACCACCGCCGCCACCACCGCCACCACCGCCACCACCGCCACCACCACGACCACGACCGCAACCACAACCACGACACCGACCACTACGACAACCACTACCACGACCACCGCTAGCAACACAGGAACCACCACGACCACGACCACGACTACTACCACCACCACCACCACCGCCACCACCACCGCCACCACCACCGCCACCACCACCGCAACGACCGCTACCACAACCACTATTCCACAGCTACTGCTTCTACTACTACTACTACTACTACTACTACTACTACTACCACCACCACTACCACTACTACTACTACTACTACCACCGCCACCACCCCAAAACCTCTTTTCTGCCTGCCCCCACTGCCTCCCTCCCACAGTATCTGCCGAAGCACCGAGAGGGTTGAAGTTGCCAGGAGGTCCGTACCCCGGCCTGAGCGACTCGGCTCGCTTCGAACCCCCATTGAGGGTTGTAGCGTAAGGGTTCAGGATTTAGGTTTGAGGGTTTAGGGTTGAATGGCTGAGGGCAAGGGTTCCAAGGTTTAAGATTTCGAGCTTGAGGTTGAGTGTTTGGGGGTTCAGGGGTTTCGACGCCTAGCGGTCGATGAGTCTCACGCACCAAAATTTCCCAAACCCCAAAGGTTTGGGGTTCAGCAAAGTTTACGGGTTCAGTGATGCATTCCCCTTGAAGCCGTGGGGCTTGAGGTACTGGATTATGGGGTTAATTTGGCCTTTCGGCGGCTAAAGGGCATCAGCCGTGGCTGGCAGCAACAAGGCTTGCTTAATAGATTTTCGCGTCTAGCATATTTTTCAATGCTTAAACTCGGAATCATGGTTCTGAGTCATCCCTCCCCGTAATCATCGTAAACCAAACATCCCGAGCCTTTAGCCAGACTTCCTTCGGGACTGTGGGGCTGCAGCTTGTCTTTCAAAGCAAACACGTCCAGCTTTGAGGGCTGCCTTTTGGGTTTAGGATTGAGGGGAGCAATAAGATGTATGAAAAGGGTTTAGGGGTTGAGAGTTTAAGGTTTAGCGTTCTGTTCAACAACTGTCGAACTCCCGGTGGCTGAAATGTAGTCTAATCGCAACGCGCCACTGAGTAAAGCGCAGAGCAGCACATGACAAGTGTACTGCAGGTATTCAAAAAGCGATCATCCTTTAAACCCCAAAACCCTAAGACCCGAAACCCTGAATCCTTAAGACCCTAAACCCTGAACCCTAAACCCCAAACCCTAAAACCCGAAACCCTGAATCCTTAAGACTCTAAGACCCTAGACCCTAAACCCTAAAGCCTAAAGCCCTAAACCCCAAACAGACAGAAACGTCCATCCTTCCCTGGGCTGACACAACCAAAAAGCCCCACACCCACAGCCGCTTAGGCTTTAGGTTTATTTTGTTTTTTGAACGCCTTTTTTCGTCCGCCTAAGTTTAGGGTTTAAGGTTTCCCCTGAATCCTAAGACCCCAACACCCACCCTAACACCCTAAACCCAACAACCAAACAGCGCTAAAGCCCTACATGCCCGAACACCCTACGCCCCAAAGCACCTAATTGACTCAGGGAACGATGGAGTCATGGAAGAAGTCATCGCCGCGGCCACCAAAGGTGCGACGGCGGCCTATTGGGGTTTGGGCTTTAAGGTTTAGGGGTTTAGGGTTTTAGGCTTTAGGGTTTAGGGTTTAGGGTTTGGGGTTTAGGGTGAAGGGTAGGTTGTGTGGGGTGTGGTTTCCTTCTTTCGCTCACCAGCCCTTCAATCCTATCATTACTGTCATCATGCGACTTCGGAAGCATGGTTACATGTACCAAGAGTAACGTCATACATTCATATAAGTTTCGTTAACCTGATCATCGCAGTACTTACTGTGTCCCGACCCTTGAGGTACCCTGTAGTCTGAATACCGAAATCTCTCTGGCCTCTCTGTGCTGTTCGACATTGGGGCAATAGCGGTTCAAGGCATCAGGGCATTAAGGAAACTCATGATTGAGGAATCATGGCTGGAAGGGCGAGGGAATTATGTTCAAAGTGGTTTGGGGTTCGGTTCACCGCAGCAGCAGCAACAGCAACAACAACAACTGTAATGGTTGCAAAAATAAGAACAACAGTTATGATAAGAATGGCACTTCCATAATTACAAACGGCGGACACTAACGAAAAAAACTACAAGCACCAATCACAAACGCAAATGCACCTTAAATACAAACACAACTCCAGGACATGGACCTTTCCAGTCCGAAGCACTAAACCATTGTCGACCACACAAAAACCCCATAACTGAACTTGAGCCCTTAAAGGGGCCTTAGGAACCCTTAGAGGAACCCTTAAATGAGCCCTTACATGGCTCGGGGGTGACCTAGAACCCGTAGCACCAAACCCTGCCAATGAAATCTGCCGCGACGTTGGGGCAAGTCGGCACAGGGCATAGAACCAGCAGGGTTGTTTAGGGTTTCTGCTTTTCCGGCAGTTGGTAGGGTGCCAGAGCACTCAAGCTTTCCTAATGGCGCTAAGGTTTCGACGCCGGTCGACTCCTTGCCCTCATTGCTGCTGACAGCGAGCTAGGTTGTATTTATCGTAAGTTATCGCAAAGACTGACTCGCACGTAGGATCCCGGCTGCTGTCGGTAGGTATGGCCAGCTATCCTTGGATGCTGTCAGCTGGCCGGTTTAGGGATTACGGGTTCAAGGCCTCATAATTGGAGTGGGGGTTTTGGCACACGAGGGTCTAGGGTCGAATACAGAGGCCTTAACTGGTATTTGGGGGTCTCTATACCAGAATTCTCATAAGGAGCCCGAGGGATTTTGACTATACAGAATAATCCATGGTTTGGGCAGGTGGGGTCCAGAATCAAATGGCGCTGCGAAGCTGCGAAGCTGCGAGGTTTCGATTGGCGCTGCGAAAGCTGCGAGATCCGTGGCGCTGCGAAGTTTTCGCGGATTGTTGGCACTTCTCGCGGATTCGCGGCTTCGCGCCTGGCGCTCCGAGGGGTGGTCTGGCGCCGTGTAGCCCTACTCGGCACTCTTCTGCGCTTCTCGGCACTGTCCGGGTCGCTGCTTGGTGCCATCTGGCGCACTTTGGCGCCTGGCACGCTCTGTGGTCACAGGAGCAGGTTTCATAACATCTATTGTGAGACCAGAACACGTGGCCCCGTCGGTGGTGCACTGCGGACGCTGTATAAGGAAGTATCGCCTGCATGTACGAGGGGCAGAGGACAGCTGCACCTTCTGCTGCGTGTGTGTGGTTGCTCTTTGCTGCAGGAACCGTGCCTCTGCGACTGCGGACTCGAGGTATTCTTCATACAGCACAACCAGCAGATTCATTGCATGCACTTGTAAGTGGCTAGAGCTACTTGCGACACTGGGCGGGCTCGGCCCCCTGCCCAAGCTATGGAATAATCACAGAAGGATGGGATGTTTCATTGCGTAGGAAAAGCTCTATGTGATACTGCTGCATGATTGGATGGTTACTACAAGGGGATACTATGCTCAGGCCTGTACAATCCACGCTGGTAAAACCCCTAGTACATGCCGAAATGAACGAAACTTCAAAAGAAACGCAAGCTGGAGGAACACGAGACCACGACCCAAGATCCTGTGAGCCTTCTAGACAAAAAGACCATCTTTACTTGAGTTGTGTCTTCCGCACCGTTGGGGCGTGTGTGCTTGTTTGCTTACTTGTGTGTTTGCTTGTCTGTCTATTAGCTTGTTTGCTTATGTGGCTGGTTGTTTGCTTGTTTGTTCGTTTGGTTGTTTGGCGGCTGTGAAGGCCCAAAAAGCCAAGCTGGTGAGGGATGTGGATATAGGATGGCCAAAGCACTAACTACTTGGATGTTCATAGTTAGTTGTAAGTTGGGTCATAAGCAGGATCCATATCAAAGAACTTGTAAGCCCCACTTATAACGACCCATGAACCTCCAAGCAACGAAAATGAAGATTCAGGATGCTTAAGGTTTAGAACGCACCGGCTTTAACCCCAAACTTTGAACCCTAAACCCTAAACCCTTGAACCTAAACCCTAACCCCTGAACCCTAAACCTAAACCCTACACCCTAAACTGAGTTTAGGGACTTTTGCATGAGGATATCCACAGCTAGGACTGGTTCGGCTTTCGGGAGCTTTCGGGGTTTCTGGTGTCGTTTAGGGTTTAGGGCTTAGGGTGTAGGGCTTGCAGTGTGTAGGTTTTCTTTTGGATCGGGTTTTGGGTTAAGGGTTTCGGGATCAAGACAACGACATTGCTAGTTCCAGTAATGCAAACAGGGGAAAAAACTTACAAACAGAGCGTAATATCAGGGCCTGAATAATTCGAGCAGGGTGTGGGGTACATTGTGCTAGAACTATAATACGGAGCCCCCAAATAGTGTTGGCAATTATTTAGACCCTTATAGTAGATGCCGCAAGCTCATCCCAACCCAGGTAAAGGGAGGATACCACTGCGTGGTAAGCCCCCAAAGGCTCAATTGAACTTGTGATGAGGGCCCCAACCCGGACCAGAGGGAGACAGAGAGCGAGAGAGAGAGTGAGGGAGAGAGAAAGAGAGAGTGGGAGAGAGAGAGAGAGATATATATATGTATATGTATATATTTATATGTTTCATTGTGCGTGTAATGGGTAATATGTATACCCTGATATAACCCTAAACCCTGAACCCTAAACCCTAACATAAGCCTTAGACACATGTGTACATATGTATATATACATACGTGTATCTATTTATGTACTGGTTTATTTATTCAACCATACATCTATAATATAATATATATTTATAGATATGCATACATATATAATATCACACACACATATAATATATATATATATATGTATACATATACACACAGACATACACGTCTGCTTCTTCTCTGCTGCTACTCATACATCCTTTGTCTTAGCCCAAGCTGCCTCGGCCCGAGGTCCATGTCGACGGTCCTCCTTCTTTGGCTTGGGCCGCCTGTGGGTCGAAGGGTTTCGGGTTTAAGTCTTTGTTTTTAGGATTTAGGACTAAGGGTTTAGGGTTTAAGGTTTTGGCTTTTTAGGGTTTGGGTTTAAGGGCTTAGGGTTAAGGATGTAGGATTGCTTGGAGAGGTGCGGATTTGAGTTTCAGGTGCAAAACGCTTCAGGGCTATTCTGAGGGTTAAGGGCTCAGGTTTTGGGCCACGATACTTGCGCTTTCTGCGCTGAGTCAGATCGATCGAGACGTTACAATAGAGAACACCAAGCCGTCTTCGCCCACAAACTCTCCCCCTAAATTGTAAACCCTAAACCCAACCTCGTGGCCTAAACTAACCCTACCCGACAGCAGCGCCCGAGGCGCGCCAACTTAAACCAACAAAGCTGATGCGATGCGTTGAACAACAGAGATAAGACAGTCAAAAAAAAGAGATCCTCAAAACTATTGGTTCTTGAGGCTACAGGTGAATCCGCAGAATTAATGTAGGGGCCTTCACAATTAGAATAGGGTGTTGGGGTATATTATTGTGGATCATTCTTATACTATACTAACTGGAAACTCCAAAATAGTATGTAATTCTTTAGGATCCTATAGTAGACAACTGGGAATCCTGAAAACCAAGACTTACAACAGGGCCACGATGCACATGCTACAACTACCAGAAAACAACATGAGAGTTCCTGAGAACAGGGGACCGTTAGTGTAAGATGGGGGACGTGTGTACTGGAATAGAGCTTTGCGGTACACTATACTTTAGTGACTCAGGGGCTACAAGGGAAGTCTACCGACTCCATGTTTCACCAGAGAACAAGAAGAGGATCTCATCATACACTAAGTCAGTAAGATATGCTTAGATCATTTACTGATGCTGCCACTGCCGCTGCCTTTGCCGCTGCTGCTGCTGCTGCTGCTGTTGCAGTTGCCTTTTGCGGTTGCCGTCGCGGCTGCCGTTGCACATGCAGTTGCCATTGATGTTACCGTTGCGATTGCTGCTGCTGCTGCTGCTGCTGCTGCTGCTGCTGCTGCTGCTGCTGCTGCTGCTGCTGCTGCTGGTGTTGGCGTGTTGGTTTGTTGGCGTGTTGGTGAGTTAGGTGCTGGTGTGTTGGTGTGT